TTCCGCACCCCAGCTGAAGATGCGGACATAATGATGCGGACTTTTTGGGCTAAGTCGCATCTCATGGCGGCGACAAGCTTCGAGGCAAGCTTCACGGAAGTAGGCGGGACCCCGGGATATATGGCTCCAGAATATTCTTGAAGAGTATGTGCTCCGTAGGAATCGGCTAGCTCGTCGCTGATGCCGATTAGCCGGACATGGGAAACCGGTGACGTTTGGGCGATGGGCGTCGTGACTTACTTCCTGCTGGCCGGCTATACGCCATTCGACCAGGACTCGCCTCAAGCCGAGATGGAGGCGATCATCCATGGCAATTACAAATTCGAGCCGGAAGAATACTGGTCGAACGTGTCTGACACGGCTCGGGACTTCGTGCGGGCGTGCCTTACGATCGATCCCGACGCGCGGCCCCTGCTGCCGAGGCTCTTGAGCACCCTTGGTTGAAGGGAGACACTTTGTGTCGACAGCTTCAGGCGGGCGACGGACTTGCTTCCCTACGTGAAGAAAGCATTCGACGCGAAGCGTGCTTGGAGGAAGGCGGCATTCAGCATCCGAGCGGTTTAAACGCATGACGGCGCTTGCGGGTGCCACCCATCTGGACAAGAGGCCCAAGAGCTGTCTGACAATGTCCGGCAGTACAAGGAGGAGTCAGAGAAAGAGATCATGGAGAATGCGTCCATCATGCATCACCACAACGACGACGTCGTGGAGAAGCTTGCAGAGACGAAATTGGCTTGAAGATTCACTGTACCATAACTAGTTCCATCTACTTCAATCCGAGGCTGGGAGTCTGTCCAGTCGGATGATGGCGCGCTACTGGCAGCAGGCGCTTATTAGCAACAGGGACAGCTATGATGCAGTTCTCGAGACATTCTCGTAAAGGCCGCGTCTAGTGCTCTCATTCTTGCTCTTGCTGGGTTGTGATCCTTCTGGACAACGCCGAGACCTTCCATATACATGTCTCCTTCTTAGAGCCCCCACGATCTCCGGCTTTGCGTTCGGTGTTCCCTACTTGTAAAATTGTCGAACGCCTCGATCGCTGTCCTCCGCGTCCTTCAATATCTATTACGGCTCACAGTCGTCCTCTACAGGAGCGCTGATCAATAAAATCAAAAAAAGTCATTTGCACCCGACGCCTCGCGTCGAGCTCAGGGGGCGGGGCGGGGCCGAAAGGGGCGTCCAGCCGTCTCAGCCGATTTCCAAAATCAACAGGGGCAAATAGCTGACATAAGAGGAGAAAGAACCCTCCTCCATCACGCCTTCGTCTTTTCCCTCCCCCTCCTCCTCCTCCGCCGTCACTAGCCCGCCCTCAGCCGTCTACTGCTTCACCTGCCGCTCGTTTCAGGCATCTACCACCACTTACCTATCCCTATTCTCTGCTCCCGTATCAGATCTGCAATGGGCTGCGTTCAAAGTGCTGGCGTTGATGAGGAGGCGAAGGCTCGTGAGTGTCTTGCATTCATTCGTGCTTGTGCTTTCCCCCCACTCCTCCCCTCCTCACCTGCTCTTGAGTGCTCGAAACTCACTCACGTCCGTCTGGATCCCTCCCTCTCCTCACCTAACTGCGCGACCCCTTTCTCACCGCATCCTAGGCAACGATGAAATTGAGAACCAACTCAAGCGGGACCGGATGCTCGCCAAGAACGAAATCAAGATGCTTCTCCTCGGTGCTGGAGAGTCCGGCAAATCGACGGTGCTGAAACAGATGAAGCTTATCTATTATGATGGCTACAACGCGCAAGAGCGTGATGCGTACAAGGAGATCATTTTCTCCAACACGATTCAGAGCATGCGGTGCGCCGTGGTCGCTTCTCACCTTGGGGGGCAAAGTATCTGACAGGCGTCATGTAGCGCCATCCTCGAGGCCATGCCCCAGCTGGACATTTCGCTTGCCCCCCAGAACGATGCTCGCCGTGCCACCATTCTTGCCCTGCCGCCTCAAATTGAGGCTGACTCCCTTCCGCGAGATCTGGCGGATGCGATTCGGGGGTTATGGCGCGGTACGTCCCGTTGCCTTGAGAGCGTGACTAATCTTAATAATCATCTATCACGTCTAGACCCAGGCGTGAAGGAGGCGGTTCGACGATCCCGGAGTTCCAGCTGAACGACAGCGCTGTGTATTACTTCAACGCTATCGACCGGATGTCGACGCCGGACTACCTGCCCACTGACCAGGACATCCTCCGTTCCCGTGTCAAGACGACGGGTATCACTGAGACTACCTTCAAGGTATTGATGGCAGTTTTTGACTTTTTGAATGAAAGCCTAAGTGCTTCGCATCTAGGTCGGCGAGTTGACGTACAGGTTGTTCGACGTTGGTGGACAGCGTTCCGAGCGGAAGAAGTGGATACATTGCTTCGAGAACGTGACGGCGCTGGTGTTCTTGGTATCCCTGAGCGAGTACGACCAGATGCTCTATGAGGATGAGAGTGTCGTACGTGTTTCTTCCTTTCGCTTCCTGGCTTGCTACAATCTAACTCCGTGCTAGAACCGTATGCAAGAAGCGTTAACGCTGTTTGACTCCATCTGCAACTCAAGATGGTTTGTGAAGACTAGCATCATCTTGTTCCTGAACAAGATCGATCTCTTCGCCGAAAAGCTGCCGCGCAGTCCTCTGGTGAGCCGTTGTGCCAGTATGTGCCGTGGTAACGTGTCTGACGTGTAGCGTGCAGGGCGACTACTTCCCCGACTACCAGGTGGCGACAACTACGATGCCGCATGTGAATACCTCCTGCACCGATTCGTGTCGCTCAACCAGAGCGCCGCAACGAAGCAGATCTATGCCCATTATACCTGTGCGACAGATACACAGCAGATCAAGTGTATGTGTCTGGTGTCATGTCCTGAGATTGACTGGTGACTGATTGCTTGTCTAGTTGTGTTGAGTGCGATCCAGGACATTCTGCTGCAGCTCCACCTGCGGGAGTGCGGACTGCTATAGAATGGTTCTGTTTCTGTTACTTACCCCTACATACGTATAATTGCTCGACACTTTCTACGACCTCCGGATCTCTTCCTTGTTCTTTTGCATTACTACTTGTTGCCATGCGCCTTTCATACATATTGGATCCCTTGGGTGGATGGCCTGTCTCTTTCGTGTGTTTATATTATGATTACATTACGTTGTCTCTCCTCTTTCTGTTGAGAATACATTCCTTTGACGCATCTCTGTACATATGGGTTTGGGTCATGAAACATTGCGGGCAGATGGATGTCCCTGACGACGCCGCACATTTCCATGCTGGGGCCATTACACATGCGACTTGGCGGCGGGGATTGTCGGCTTTTCTAGTGTCAGGCGGGGGACAGTGTGAACGTTTGATGCACCGCACGACAATAGTTCGTAGGATCCGTTAACGATCAAGGGGATGGATGCTATAATGTCGTTCAGTCCCGGCAAGGGATGGATGATCATGACGGCCCGATATGCACTGCGTGCCGAAGAGCGATGACTTTGTAAACGGGGATGAGCACGAGGGTGATGTTGTTGATGAGAACACTTCGATCGAAGGACGAAGAAAGCAGCCTGACTGGTATCGGCTCCCTCTTCCGAGAACGGCGGTCATGTGGGATTGTGCAGAATTCCAGCGAGCGATGGCGTGTCGGGTGGTATCACCCCTGCGTGGATCCGGCTGACGGTGGACAGTAAGAATCGCAGGGACATATGTGGCAACGGAATGCGTAATCCCATGGTGAGGGAAGACTGGGACGGGATATTTCGTTCCGAGTCTCGAACGGCGAAAGCGGAGAGAAGATCGACTTGACATCAACTAGCTGAGGAGGCAGCGCAGGATATGATTGGGTTCTGCGGCGGGTCATTGGTGTTGTCCCCAGTCGGCTCGTCCTGACTTTTGCCGTGTTCTGAAGAGCAGGGGATACATGCATCATCGGGAAGAGTCGGGGTATCCCGTGTCTAGAAATAACATAAGAGTAGTCAGTCGGTCACAAGGCCACCGAACAACGAAGTGGATTCGTAAAAACGTTGAGTAAAGTGTGCTTGAGAGTCTGACCAATCTGCCCGATGTCTGATCTCATCTTATCTGATTTCCCTGCGATTACGCTTTTCTTCCTATCCACGATGACCTCGCCGAACCTCATCCCGATCGCATCCCCAGCACAATTCCAAGAGGCGTTGTCCGCAGATCTTGCTCGTGTATCGCTGATCTTCTTCTGGGCACCATGGGCTGCCCCTTGCGAGCAGATCAGACCCGTCGTTACCTCCCTGGCGGCCAAGTACCCCACGTTGCTCGTGCTGGAAGTCGAGGCCGAGGAACAGGCGGACATCGCCGAGTCGTTTGAAATCGAAGCAGTACCTGCGTTCGTCGTTCTTCGCGGGCACACGCTTCTTGGGCGGATCAGCGGGGCGGATGGGGCGGCGCTGACAAAGGCGATAGCGACGCATCTCGATCCGGCGTCGGTGACCGCAGACGACGGCGCAGAGAAGAAGAAGGAGGAGTCCAAGGAAGAGCTGGATGTGCGTCTGCGAGCGTTGATGACGCAGAGCCGTGTGGTGCTGTTCATGAAGGGCACCCCGGACGACCCCCGGTGCGGGTTTAGCCGCAAGATCTCTGCCCTCCTCCGGGATCAAGGTGTCGAGTTTGCGCATTTCGACATCCTGAGTGACGACGGGGTGCGACAAGGTGAGTGGGTTGTCGTTATCGCTGTGCTTGTCTCTGGGCTGGACCTAAGCGTGGCATGCAGGCCTCAAACGCCTCAACGACTGGCCGACATTCCCTCAGCTTATCGTGGCCGGGAACTTGTGGGCGGGCTCGATATTGTCCAAGAAATGGTAGAGACGGGCGAATTTGCGTCAGTGGTCAAGGGCGAGTGAGGATCGGAGAGGTGGTGCTCATAACTTTTGGCTCAAGTTTTTTTTTCGACTATGTCCCTCCAGCTTTCGTGCAAAATACATCTCTTCTCACACAAGCAGACATTTCGATAGCTCAAAAACGATATGCGTTGCAGAACCAGATGGGTGCTGCTTTGGGCATACACCCGCACAGTCCTGATGCGCCAAGACGGTAGATCGCACACGTGGAAGTCTACACTGCGCACTTCTATCGAACAACACTCATCAGCTTGTGAGTGACTCCCCATGAGCCTTGAATCTTGCGTGACGACTTGGCTCCACCATTCATTGCCAATGTGCTTTTCGGATACAGTAGGACTTGCGGGTACAATAGGACTGGCTGAACCGAACGGAGCTCTGTAGCAGTGATATGAGTCGAGTCACACATTCCGATTCCTTCAGAATGTTCGCGGCGTGAGAGAGACGTGAAGGAAAGAATCAGTCAGCCAGATCGTCCCCAAGCTACCAAGCCCGCCTGGCCATGCATTGACTCAGACCCCTGGATTCACCCGCGACCAAGAAGACTTCATTAGATGCAAGCTTTCACGACACTATTTAGTGTGCTGCATTCGGTCCTCGACTTCCAAGCTGTGAGATTCCTCGGTCTCAGTCGCATGTGGGGGTACTTCCTGACAATGCCGCACACGAGTTACTGAGGAAAATCGGCGCGGCCAAATTAGAGGACTAGCGGAGCATCTTGCTGAGAAGAAAGCATGAAGTGTGAACGAGAACGAGGCCAATCGAAGCCTGGAAATGTGTGGCTCGCTGAAGGAACAGCTGAAGGAACAGGAAAGGCCAGTTGTTTGTGTCCGTCCCGTCCGAGGCTGTGATCCGATCAACCGAAACACTCCTCGTCATATCATTTGATTTTCATCCGAATTGAACGTCGCCCTCCATATTCGACGGCATTCAATTTTCAGCCATCTCATTCCAAACCACCCGAAACAAATCATGAAACTCGACTCCATCCGTCTACGAGGTCATGACTGTCCTACTCATAGGGGCTCTTGCCAGATGGACATCGAAGAGGTTTGGAGTATTGATCAGGACTCAGAGCTAGTGTTTAGGATATCTTCATGGCCAGGGGACTCTCAGAGACGAATAGAAACATTTTTCTGAGCTCGAGAGGTCGAAATGCCAGTAGCTTTAGTCTGTCAAGGGTCTTTCCAGTATGAACCGCTAAATGTGTTTACTCGTGCGGAAAACCGAGGAGGTGGAGTCGCAGAGTACACGAGTAGTAGAAAAGGCGGCTGTTGAAGATTTTCCGGACAGGTCATGCAAAGCTGCTTGCTTCATGAGAGGAATTCGAAAAGGCGCGCTTGGCGAGCATTTTCGAGCTCTCACGCCCAATACCAGACAGCAGTGTAAGGATTCAGGGACACAATTGCAGGAGAGGACAGAGACATCTTTGACTTTCTTGCGGAAGTAGGTTTTTCCGAACGTGGTGCCTTCAATGCTAATGATCTACGGCGCAGAAAAGCACTACGGATGATGTCAGTCGCAAACACTCCCTCGTCTCAATACGTTCTGAAAAGGAACCTTATACATACTTCGTAAGTTCATTTGGCCGGGACTGACAGCTGATGTGAACACCACTCAGAAGGCCGGTGCTGTTTGATTCTGTATACATTGCTACGCAGAGGTCGACATGTTCCCAGCGCTGCGGGGAGCAGGCTACGTCCAATGAGCAACTAAAAGATGCTCGAAGCCCTTTTTGCAGATGCTCTGATGACATATCGACTTTTTGCGGACGGCGACCGCATATCCCACCAGATACAAGGAGCTCAAATGGGACAACAGAGCGATCCTCGAGAAGAGATGCGGCTGCTTACGCAGATAAATTCAACTCGTCGTATTCACGGTCGCTTCCCAGATCTCAGGGTTACTGAATTTCTCACCATGAAAAAAAGATCTACCAGTCTCAAGGTGAGTTTTTGAGTGCATCTACTCAACTTTCGGTAGCTGATTGACAAATAATTCCTCGTTACAGTATCGTAGACAAGATGCTCTCTTTTTACGAACGCGATCATGAAAGTGGTTTCGAACATCCTCGACTAGATACCAGTTGTAATAAGCTATGATGCAGACCATGTGGCTTCTCCCATGACTCCCTGTTTCGAAAGTGAGCCTGCAAGAAATTTGGTTCCTTGGAGTCCGTGAACGCAAGGCCATTTACCAGAGCTCTTTCGGGGTCATGAATTCACGAAAATTTAGTCAAGAACATCATACGCTTATGGTTTCGAATGTGTGCCCTTCTTAAAATGTCGCTTCCCGCCCGATGGCGCGCGATGGCGACCTGAGAGACTTTGGATTAATGCCACGGGAGCCGATAGGTATCAGTTGACGATATTGACCGGGAGGCTCTACCAATGTATGCAAAGAAGAGGACATGGGAATCATATTCATTATATCACGTATCGGCGAAATTTTATCTCAAACTATACGTCCCTGCTTCACTTTCACAGAATGGGGGAAACACCCGACAAGATATCCTGTGGCGTTCTGTGACGGTCTCGTATGAACTGGTACGATTTGATTCAAGATCAGTTGTATCTATAACACTCGTAGACAGTCACAGGTACAGCCACGTAGTAGTTGCCCCGTCAGCGACGATAATGAAGCGGATGTCAGACGCGTGGCGTCATAGCAATGCTCAATCACATGACACGGATCACTTCATCGGCACCGTCAGCAAGTACTGACTCCGCCCGCCGGAGATGGCTTACTCATCAAACTGCCTACTCATCTCACGCCGCTTAAAAAAGCCGTCCACAGACCGATCCCCTACTTTCACCTCCCCGAAATGTGAGTTTGCCCTGCAATCTTGTTTCATCCCGCCTTCCCCGACGATCCGTCCTGCTACTCCAATCGAGCATATCAGGCGTTGCGTCGCGGGCAATTTTGCGCTCGAGGGGCCTTTTTCATCCCTTGTGCTGTGCTGACAAAACTTTCTCTTCTCAGAAACTATCATGGGTCGCCGTCCCGCTCGCTGCTACCGCTACTGCAAGAACAAGCCGTACCCCAAGAGTCGGTACAACCGTGGTGTCCCCGATCCCAAGGTGGGTGTCTCTTCAGCCCTTCCCTTGCGAATTCTAAATCCTTTGTGCTCGCAGATTCGTATCTTCGATCTTGGACGCAAGCGTGCCTCTGTCGACGAGTTCCCCTTCTGCTGCCATCTTGTCTCTGATGAGTACGAGCAATTGAGTTCGGAGGCTCTCGAAGCCGCTCGTATTTGCGCCAACAGGTACGCTGGCCTCGGTCTCACCCACCTTTGTTGACTCAATTCTGGGCCCTCTAGTACGTGACCAAGACGTCCGGCAAAGACTCTTTCCACCTGCGTGTCCGTGTCCACCCCTTCCACGTCATCCGAATCAACAAGATGTTGTCTTGCGCCGGTGCCGATCGGCTGCAACAGGGCATGCGTGGTGCCTGGGGAAGCCCTACGGCAGTGTCGCACGAGTGAACATTGGCCAGGTCCTCCTCTCCATCCGGTGTAAGGAGGCCAACGCGCCCATCGTCATGGAGGCGCTGCGCCGTGCCCGGTACAAGTTCCCCGGCCGCCAAAAGATCATCGTCTCCAAGAAGTGGGGATTCACGAATGTCAACAAGGCGGACTACATTAAGCTGAAGGAGGAGAAGAAGGTGTTGCAGTATGTGGCCATTCTTTCATTCGCACGGGGTAATGCGCTGACACCTCATGTAGGGATGGTGCCTACGTACAGTTCATCAGGCCCAAGGGCCCTCTCGAGACCAACTTGCGCAACCAGCTCCGTGCATGATTGTATCAGTAGTCCTATGATGTTCACCGTGCTCGTTCTGTTTCCTGTGTGATTTAAGGTTCTTCTCGTTCTCTCTTCTTTCCCTTTTCATTCTCACTCTCATAACCGCCCTCTTATTCACTACTCCACCTCGATCAATGGGTGGTGCGAGGGGAACGGGGGCGAATATCTATCTTGCATTCAAATCCGGAGATCTTAACTACTACTTGTCTCCTTGTTCGCGGGTTTGCTGTCCAGCTAGTGCGCGGCGGTTTTGTCTACATACATATCCAGTTTCGAATCGTATTCTCGCTTTCTAAGTTTAATTTGCCCACGGCGAGAGACACGAGAATGATACTCTTCAAGAACCCAAACCCAAACCCGGACGAAATCTACGTATCATCGGCATTGGGTCAAGGCAGAACACGATCGCCGTCCTTCTCACATGGACATTGAAACGGATTCTCTGCGCGCTGGGTATATCCGTCATGATTGGAAATCACAAGAATCTATCTGATTGCGGAATCCACGGCCCGTCGCTTCTCTGGCTCAGCTGGTTAGAGCGCCAGTCTCACATTCATCTATGTGTGACGCTTGTCATTAAATCTGGAGGTCAACAGTTCGATCCTGTTGAGGAGCATCGGCTCTCCGCGTGTAGAGCTTCGCTAGCGGACGATTCATTTTGTTATCTTCACGTAATCACCTTAGTCGTGTAGACCTCCATATGCATAGCTACCGCGTGCTACACCTCTAGAAGCTGCGCAAGCCTTGATCACATGAACAGCAGAGACCAGTTTTGCTCGTAACCCTGCAGCGTACGAACATGCAAGGTGCACTATGGACACTCACTGCATCATGCGCACACTTATCGTGAGGTCAATGCTCTGAATCAACTGCTCCGTCAAGTAAGAACGTAGGTACTGGACATGGGTGTCGATTGCCCTATGCGGAGATGTCCATTCGAGGAGAATGCTAAGATACGCCTCCATGACGAATCTAAACTCTCCGACTTTTGCATTTCCTTTCAAGATACTCCCTGCGGAAGACAACTATCATAAATCTGAGCGTTTTTCGACGAAGATGGCAGACCTACCGCTGACTGACATCCTCCTTCCTTTGATTCGGTTTCTTCCGTGCACGACGAGGCCGAGCCTCTAGCTGAGGTCTGGGACGGATGTCAGAGTAGACTATAGGGCATAACGCGAGCACTCACGAGCATTTCTCAACTGGGGATGGCTCGGTCATCGTTGGCGTCAATTCAGTCGGAGAGTTGATCTCGCTGGGAGATTGCGCCAGAGGAATGTCGTCGTCCACTTCGATCAAGAGCGGCCTTGAGAGAGGAGAGGGCTTCCGATTCCACACGCTGGAGTTGGTCGGTTAGTCTGACTTCACAGTCAAACATTCGCGACACACTAGTTCTCGATGCCGTTGTACCGGAAGAACCTAGTTGGTACATTGGGAAGACGTGCAGTTATGCGATGGTGCTTCAGGTACTTCAGATGAGTGCGGCGGATACCCCAGACGGCGGGTTGGTTCCCGTGGCCCGGAGCCTTTAGAGCCAGGAGGTCCCGGCGCAATTCCTTTAGTGTCTTGGTTCGATCTTCACGCAATGTGTCAGGCGATACAGCTTCCACGAGCATGTCGGCACGTACTGTTCTTCGTCCTCACAACTGGGCGCGCTGCGAGGAAGGATGTTCAGAACAAGATCGAAAGAAGATCAGACGCGCACCTGTCTCACTGGGACGAGCACACGCGCATCCCTTTTCTTGCGTAAAACCAACCGGTACATGGATCCGTGTGGCTCGAACGACGCCTCCCACGATGACTGACGCATGCTGTAAAGCTCAATGAACGAATGAGCCAGCTCCGACGATGGTAGGAAGTCGAATTCGGTTGGGATGATCTGTATACGTCGCGAGATACTCTTTAACAGACTGTTCTGCAGTTTCTTGGGCGGTGCCGTCCGGACTTTGTAGCAACTTTCGATCAAAGGCTGCCGCGGCTGGGTACCGAAGGCCAGTGGAACTTCAAAGGAATGTCAGCGCATCGCAGTAGGTGTTGCACAGAGCTTTACTTACCGGAAGACATGTGTATGACTTGGGCGGTGGTGATGCAGAGGCAAAGGACACGCCTACCCCCGACAATGCGAGCGCGGGCGTATCCACTGGAGTCACGTTACAGCACCGGATGTGCGCAATCAAGCCTGGAAAACCATTGTCCTCCCGATATAGGCTGATGGGTGCATGATCCAAGGCTCTTGTTTTCGCTATCAGCGACGAGCGAAGATATGTGAGCTTCAAGGACTGCGCGCACCGTAGAGACTCAAGTTTAACCATGACCTGTTGGTTGGCACAGAGGTCTTCGCCGCGAGTTCATGAAGCACTTTCATCCAGAGCTATCTCGATGCAGCACTGCATGATTGGGCCTTGGCAGCCTTCCCGTTGGTACCTCTCCATCCCGTTCGATTCCGTAGCGAACAGAGATGCTAGCACATCCCCAGATCTCAGTAGGGAATCTGCTCCGTGGGCGACACAGGAGAGTAGTCCGATGATTCCCCAGGGTCCGAGCGACACACCAACAGTCGAAAGCGATAACGAGACCACCCGCCATCCCGCATTCCGACTATTTGACCGCGGTTCCCTTCCAGTACGAGGTGTCGAGTCTTAGGCAATGAGTGTGCACCAAACAGCCCATCGCTATTTCGTCTGGCATCACTGGGGGGAGTTCAAGAGCGATACCGAGAGCAATTATGCGCGCGAACACATGCCAGCTGAAAGACTTGGGAAGCCATCATGACGCCAACGACGCTGTTAGGTTGTTCCAATTCGAATTTGGTCGACAGTCCAAGGGCGCGGCCAACATGCAGTATTTTGGCGACAGGAGCACGCAGGATTCAGTGAGATTTGAAGTCAGACGCGATTAGACTCAAGACCAGACAAGTGGGAGCGGCCCGTCTGAGTGCCGTTTCACCTCCGAGTCAGTGTTTAGTGGTAGAATGACCGTAACCCAGCGTATCCCCTGATGTGTGACGTTACTCCCTTCCTCACGCAGGATATGGCAATCCAGCCTATGAACAGAAAGGAATCCAAGGATGAGCTCATCTGCCCTCAATTCTGTCTCGCTGATTCAAACTAGACTCTCTGACCGTTGACAGTGCTTCTGAGAAAAAGGACAAATAGACACTTCACGGCATATGAAAAAATCATGATACAGTTGCACCGAAACTGCCCATCGGTTCGATGGTGTAGTTGGTTATCACGTCCGTCTCACATTCGGATTCCCGCAGTTGAGGACTGTGTTTCACGGGAGGTCTCCGGTTCGAGCCCGGGTCGAATCAGTTTTTTTCTGCTCGCACCATCCGAGATACTTTCATTTCGGCTGTCCCTATCCTAAACTTGGACAACGTAATTCACTGTTCCCTGCGCGATTCCATTTCGACGACAGCGAGAGCATGAAAGTGCGCGTTTTCAGGATCCAGATGATTCTTCACTATCTCCTTCACGACACGCGTTCCACCAATCAATATATCTCGCTCCCCATCCAGCCATTCATCGTGATCCACTGGCCCGTTTTTGCCGCCGTCCATCTCATAAATGTGGCCATCCAGTTGCGAAGGGATAAACGCAGCGTAGTGCCCGGGAACGACATCGTCGGCATGCAACACTTGACTGGTACCGAGGGGCGCACAGTCGTTGTACAGCGCTGCGATGGGTGAGAAGGACTCGAGGAACGAAGCCCGGTCGGGAGGCGACATGGGGAGCGCAGAGGCGATGAACTTTCCCATGGGCGAATCTGGGTCTTATACCAGTGGTCAGCCAGCAATGACCTGTGTGCGGACACTCCACCAGAAGGACGAGAAGTCACGAACGAACCTATATACGGCGAATCTACACCCAATCGACTCAAGTTTGAAACGATGTGCATCAGTGCGAAGAACCCGCATGCGTGGGGGACGATCTGCTCGACCCACAACATCGGCTCGTCGGACCCTCGACCAGCATACCCTCGCCCCGCATCTCGCGCTTTCTCCCGCTCGTAGTCGATCGAGGATTCGTACGCGGGGTTGGTATTGTACACCAGAATGATTCCGCGCAACTTGCCTGGCAGAGCCAAGGGACCGCCAGGAACGAGATCGTCTGGGTCAAGGAGAGCAGATCGACGCAGGTCAGCAGGTGGGATCGCACCCCGCAGAGAGCGTGCATCAGGTCTGTGAAGATAGTCGGATCTGACTCAAGGGGATGCCGCAGAATTGTGCTGGAGAGTTTTCGGAAAAGGACATGGTGGTAGTAGACACGAGCGAACGCGCTGAGACGCGTCATATGCTTTGATCGCATAATCATCCATGTCTGAATTTCCGCTAAATCTGCTCTTGAAGGAAGGATGGAACTTCATTTATTTCTGTGAGTCTTGATACAAAGCAGGAGTCATAGAGTGGGAAGGGAACAGTCGTGGTAGTCAATACGAGAAAATCAATCATATGACACGGGCGGGCGAGGTAACAAGTTTATGTACAGAGACTAGCAAGAAAGAGTTCTAAGCTGCATATATCGAGAAGCGGGCAAGAGAACTAAACACACCTGAGTAAGATGTCGACAATCCAGCGCGTCAGGGGACGATTGTGGCTGAACTGGGCACTAGTGTTGTCTGCAACACTCATGACCGGACGGAGTCAACCAGTCTGGCGCCAGCGCCCTCGTACCACTCAACAACGACATCGGTGATCTGGTAGTCAGCGAGGATCTTGAGGATGTCTGGTGTGGCATCACGAACGGCCCCTGCGGTGGTGGTGTTGGGATGAACTGCGATCCACACTACAACAGGACCAAGGGTTTCACCCTCGCTATCCTCGATCGAGAAGCGAACCTTATGGATCGCAGACCACCGGAGGTGATGCTCCTTCAATGATTGTATAATCCGAGGAAGAGCGACATCCCACACGCCATTGAGAGGCGTGTTGAAGACGCCATGGGCAGTTTTAGTGGGGATCGTAAAGAAGTGGCTTCCAGGTTGGTGAGTGGGGAAGGGGTTGGTCTCGAAATCAGAGCGCCACATGAGATGGGGAGATCCCCAGAGAGACCGTGGTAATAAAAGCGCATTTCGAATTTGGAGATTAGGTCGGGGGCAACGATGGCGTGAGGATCTGAGCCGTCAATAAGCTCTGAGTGAATCTCGGCATTGGTGAGGGTGCCAGAGGGAGGAGGGATGGAGGGCTCAGCAGCCTCGTGTCTGCGTCTGACCAAGTCGACCATGAAACAGGTGACACCTGTAAATTGAGGAAGGGTCAGTAAGTGGGAAATGAAATGTGCGCAAAAGAAGATGGAGGGACTTACTGCCTAGATTTGTGGGATCAGCCTTCACCTGCTCGACTATGTCTTTGACCTCTGGAGCAACGTCTACAATTCCGAAGGGCCATACATAATGAGTGAGGGATGGGTATGTATAATGACAAAAGGACTTGCTTTCGCCCATGAACCCGAGGTTGACAAGCTCCTCGTCACTGAGGTCGACGATCTCTGCAAGAAACAGTGGATTCGACACTCGTTAAGGGGAACAAGGGTCACAACTCACTCTTCTCTTCATACTCAGGATTCATATCGGGGAAAACCGTTTCACGAGAGATGGCAATTGGAGAGAGTAAGTAAGTAGTTCTTCGATGATGAATGAGTCGAGAGAGAGACAGGGATACACGACAAGAGGATCTTAGGGGATCTCGCCGAGTTTGTCACGGCCATAGCAAATCCGGATCACCCGCGGGCAGACACTCAGGGGTCTTGACCAGGATCGACTTCTCGCTGATTTTGCTATTTAGCCATTCCAGAATGTGTTCCCCGCCCACTCAAACAAAGATCAGATTTTCCATACAGGTGAATCAAGACAAACACTGGAATAGACGACCTCGTGGAAGACATCGTGGACTATTCGACATCTTGCCATGGCCGCTCTACATCTTCATCAGCATCGTCCGCGTTCACGCCAGCGACAGTCATGTCTTCCATCCTCTTCGTAAACTGAGTCATATCGAACAGAGCGGCCTCGCGGACAGCCTGGTCGTAGCCCCCGGCCTCGTCAACCGGCTGGTCTGGATTCCAAGAGATATCTGGACCAGTCCATCCCCCATTGCCGTGCACGTAGTTCAGGAAAGTCCGCCAAAGTGGGTCAAGGCCCAGCACATCAGGGTCTCCGATGACGATGAGCAGCGCTTGGGCTCGTGTGACAGCAACTAGTGGCTGGTCAGGGCACGTCATCAGAAAAGATCCCACACACCATTGAATCGACGGGGATTGGCCACAAAGCCCAGTGTGTGACGCAAGTCGTACTCGACAAACTCGCGGCTGCTCCGGACAGTCGAGACAATGATCACCTGGCGCTCCTGGCCCTGGAACTCCTCAACACTGCCGACTTTGACCCCGTCTGCGAATGCACGCAGCACCGCGCGGATCTTGAGGCACTGAGCATGGTATGGTGTGATCACACCGATGTCGTTGTCAGCTGGAACATCTCAGTCTCTCGCCAGGTCACGAAGGGCGGCAGCAACGTACTGATCCGCACGCGGCGGTCATCCCGGAGCATCGCCACGTAGCTCTTGACCTGGCTGACCTCATCGACGTTGAAGAACGACGGCGAAGAGGCTTCCCGATCATCCTTTCCCCTGATCGCGTGGAAGATCACCGGAAACTGACCATTGGGCAGCGGCCCCCAGTTCACATACGCGTTGACCACCGACGGGCTACCGCACGCCTCCAGTTCCCCTTGATAGAAGCGTTCATTCGGAAACTTGAGGATCGACGGGTGCGAGCGAAAGTTCTTCGTAAGCTTGACGACGCTGGGAAGGGGGTCCTCCATCGCAGGCCAAAACCAAGGAACACATCACTCACGACTTGCCGTAACCTCTGACCTGATCGTATATCTCCATAGCCATCAGCCGCTCGATGAAGCTCTTCTCCAGACCAAGCTCTCTCGCAATCGCAGACCGGATGATCGGCCCCAGTTGCTTCGGATCCCCAGAGAGAACCACATTGGTCTGCTTGTCGGCCATAGTTTTGATCGCTAGAGTAGATGTAATGCTGACTAGTAGCGACAACCGAGTATACGCACCGATCATAACTTCAGGTTCGGTAGCCTGGCCCGCTTCATCGCAGAAGATGTGTGAGTAATGGCCTCTTGGGATGCCGATCCCTGAAACGACAGACGCAGAGACACAGGTCGTCACCACCACCCTGTACGTCTTCATCTTCGCCAGCCCCGAACAGCAAAGTGTCCGTTCGCGGTGGCGAAGGTGAACGCGCGTAGCTCTAGAGGGACCGTTTCTTTGTGACGTGACGGGGCGTAGAACCGAAACAGCTGCTCCGCCCCCAGTGACATGAGACGCGTTGTGATGAGGTCTGCGGCAGAGTTGCTGGGCGCAATCGCCAGCACGCGAGCTTGAGGGTTCGCAGACAAGATCTGGAAAACGGATTCGACCATGGTGACCGTTTTCCCCGTTCCGGGTCTGCTGAGTGCTCAGCTAGACGGCGGCATCCGGATACAAACACTCACGGCCCAAAGATGACGAATGGGACGGACCCAGGCGCCCGCTCGACTATGGACACAACGGCCTGCAGCTGAGGAGGATTGTGTGCGATCAGCGGATTCTTGACTTGGATGCGCTTAGAAGGGACTAGTCCAGCAGGCATGTGCGTTTGTTCAGGGAACAGCACACGGTCCTCGTCGAAGGCCGTATCGAGGGCCAGATGCTGACGTCGAACAGGGTGCCGGTTCAGTTTGAAGCGCACCGTAAAACGCGCTAGGGGAGAAGCCTTGCCAAACGACGAATGGAACCGCAATCCGACTTCTTCCTTCCGCACGACGTGCACGCCACCTTCAAACCAGTGGCCAGCCGCAGCACCTGTTTGCTGCACAAGGATTCGGTCGCCTAGGGGATGGATCAGAAGAGGAGATGAAAGGGGGAACGTGCTGACCGACGAGAACACTGGGGCGCTTCTCCGCCAGTCCTGGGACTGAGACGCTGGGAGATTGTTGTTAAAGTTTGTGGGAAATCGGTTGGCAATACTCACTAGTGATAGGGATGGTGCACCGTCAACTTGGCCTCTGTGATATCGTAATACTGAAGATCGCGCCTGGGTTATGATCAGTCACTGCCCTGGATCCTGGCCGACGCACTCACTCCATCTGGTGCTCCTCTATCCAAATGAGATGCTTGAAGTGCCGCGGATACGCGTCACTATTCAGGACCGGCGGCAGAAACACAGTCCGCATGTTTTGGACGATGCTGCTTGCTGTTCCAGTTGCTAAAGCTGCAGACAAGGCTTTGGGGATCGGCGACTCGGGAAGCACGACAACGTAGCGAATCACGCGCAGCGAGGGAGGTGCGACGCCCTCGACAACGTTCGTCTCAGGCTGCCGGGCAGTTCGTTTGCGCGGAACGTACGGTGCACTGGGTCGCAGGTTTTCGTGATCATCGCGGTCCCCAACAATCACAGCCAATGTGCGCATTATCACAAATCGGCGTCCGAGCTGCCGATCTTCGAATTCCAACTCCAGTCGATCTTGGGCACGGCCGTTATGGGACTGACACATGCTGACTGTGAAGTTCAGCGTCTGTTTGTAGCATATTGAACGATGAGCAGTCGCAAGGTCGAGTGTGAATCTAGATAGAAGTCACAACTAGACGGGACACCGAGCAACAAGTCACTCACGGCGTCGACATCCGAACTCCCCTCGAAGAGGCGAACGTCGCATTGACAATGCTCACAATCGAATAGGGCGTGGTGTTCGTGATGGTCGCGTTCATTCTTACCCCAGCACCCGCCAGGGAGGGCTCGACTATCCCGAAGTCAAAGGCCCCACTGACCGACACCCCGTTCTTGTCTTTCTCGGCTTCATCCAAGGCCGTACGGAACGACAGAAACTGCGTCTTCGCCAGGTGCTTCGGCATCAGGTGGTGCCGCGCCCAAGACTTGTCTGGGATCTGCGAGTTGCACGTCGTGCAGAGTGTGTGTCCTGGCATCTCTCCGCCCTCTTCTGCTTCAAGGTGCCTCCCACCCGCTTTTTTGATGTGTCGCGCGCCGCGGACATGAACAGCCCAGTTCTTGGTGCCGGAGATGTGCTTGTCGCATCCAGAACAATACAGCGTCGACCCAAACTCGCCGCACAGACGGTTCTGGTGCTGCTTCGTCGCGACGTGTTCAGTGTACTGCGGTGCGGTGGGAAAGATGAGATTGCACAGGTCGCAGCTGGGCGGATTGTGCGCGAAAGTGCAGAAGCGCTCTGTGCAGAGGGAGCCTGCAAGGACCTGTGGGCAGATTGTGGAGCCGGACATTGGTGAGTGGTAACAAGGGGCGAGAGAAGTCGAGTCGCGGCCTTTGTACTTCAAGCATCCGTGCGGCGTGTTTACGTTATTTCAGAATGCTCTTTGCGCGTCAAGGGAGAACAAAGAACATGAATGCCGCGCCTGGAGCAACCATTCTGCGCCTCGAGGCTGGCGCCACTGTACATGATCGGGACAACAAGGTTGGTTGCCCTGTTATCTGAACGGAAATGACCGTTTTAATGAAAGGTGGGCGTCTATGGCACCGCCACCGCCTCCGAATCACGTTGTTCGGGCTCAAGCGCTGAAGCCTCGGACACGGGCAGCCGCGTTAGGCCTCGTGCTTACAGAATCTCAGACCTCAGATAGGTCCCCTTTCACACTTTATAGCGATTTCACCCTCGATTCCAAGTACTCAGAGCCGCCTGCTATAGAAGATCCGAGCACGAAAATTCAATGCTCCGCTTAGGTTTCATGAGTCTAGACAGCGGTGAGAGCTACAGTTATACAGAAGTCCGGGACAAGATCTCGAGAATTAGGACTGCAATATACACGATGCATGGGAAACCGAAAGGAGAAAACCGTAGTACTTCTACTCGGAGGGCCCAGCTGTCCCTCAGCAAGAGCTCAATCTCCTCCTCTTCATCGGCCGCTCCGACACGATGTCATGCGACTCAGAGGATTGTACAGCATCCCTACAAAGAGGCGCCATCGTTAGCTCCCAGGACCGTAGATGGCAATAGAGCATTGGCGTACTGTGGATTGAAGACGCTATCATACAACCGCTTCAGAACTCTGGTAAACTGCCAAACTTGCGGCTTCAGTGAACCAGAGGCAGTCACTGCTCTAGAACCGTCAATACGTGGGTAAAGGGAACAGCGGGGGTGAAATGGGGGGTGACGCACTCGGCAGCGGGGTCTAGTTGCCCACGAGCGGCGAGACACAGATTGTGTCCTCTGCGTAAAGCACGTTGGAAAGACCCGACGGCCTGTGTTTCCACACACTGCACGCGGGTAAGTAAGGCAGGAGAACTCGACGATAAGCGTCAAAGACGTACTACGCCTGGACTTCTGCATGCTGAAACGAGCCTGGGGGCCCAACTTTCAAGGGGCGAATGCGCTGGTGGAGATCGGTATCCAGCAGGTGTTTGCGTCGAGCGCCGTCGACTGCAGGCCGCGAGTTGGCGGCGAGATCGAGGAGGGCTTGTCGGGACTGAGCTAGGGCCAGCGCTGGGGCGACCTTCGATGTAGCAGTCGATCCGGCAGTCGGGACGGCCACCGGGAGGACTACACAGAAAGATGAGGGCGCATTCTCCGCGCGCATTCGGCCTACGCACCTCGGGGTTTGCGCACGGAGGCAGGCGTCGGAGTCGCGAGCACCTTTCTGCGCACAATAACTTTGTACGTCTCCATCCCTTGCTGCCCACCCCAGACGATGTACATCGCATGTGGGCCAGCCATGACCGCGCGTATGTACATGGGGCACTGCCGGTTCCGCAGTGCGGCCATGATCCGCTTGGCAGATGGTGGATTGTAGAAGTGGAACGGAAGCGTGAAATTGCGCGGGCCGACGAGGGTCTCAACTGGACTGGTAGCACGCGGTTTGGGCCGGAGGGAGCGAAGCCTGTACAGATCTTCGGGCCGGTGACTGTGTTGGGTAGCTACTGCGGATTGTAGGGCGCACAGCGGCCACTCGGCCTTCCTGGTGCGCGCAGGAGAGAAAGAGGAGGACTGGAGCTGGTTGGCGAACATGCTAGAGAGGGCGATGGTAGTGGACAGAGGAAGAGACTCGTCTTGCTCATCAAAAACAATGCACTTCAGTTATCACGTCGCGCATTGTCCTGCGAATGGGCCTCCAAAGCGCTGATGTGTCGGCTCCGCGCTTTGATCCAAGCTCGTTGAGCCTGTAACTTCTTCATAATGAGCTCCAATGACGCGAGAGATGTGCTTCAAAGTGGCATTCGCTTTGCCGCCTGAGGTACCAGTCCTGAGCAGGGCCAGTCGAGCCTGGACAACTCTTCGCCAGACGTTCCAAGTGGCTCTGTTGTCTCTCAGATCCACTTAGACAAGACATGACCGGGGAGATCGCATTTCAGCGTGCGGGCAAAGTCTAGTGCGTCAGGTCAACCGAGGCTCAGCACAGCGAGACAACAAACTACTTGAATGCCAAGCCTCCGCTTGAGCCTTTCTGAGCATCTTCTGAGCACCGAGAAAGGATGGGCGTTACTGTGCTCTCCAAAGACACACATTATTCGAGAGCTGAAGTTCAACACCCTTCGACGCTCGCCTCAAGCGTCCGAGGCGCAGCGTGAGTAGAGCAGCAGACGTGGCGGTAACAATGTGGAGAGAACGCAATTGTGAAGCGTCGAATGCTCAGGAAGCAGCCCCCAGTCAGCGGCGCTCACTGCTCAGGTCTGCATCGGAGAAAACTCGACTGCTTTGGGAACGGAGATGCGCTGGCGCCGGACGGAGGGGAAGTTTCTCAATATGATGGGCTGTCACGCGCCGATCAACATTCGGCCCAGCGTCACCGTCTTGCATCTCCCCGCCGCAATCCCACTTCCATGCGATACACTCCATCTTCTGATCTGTCGAGCGAGCAGGGCTCGTATACAGCAGCACTCATCGTCTTATGGCACCGATACATGAAATCTCGTGTCGAGCGGGCCTCGTCACCGGTGGAAACCTCGCCGATCTCTGACAGAATGAAAAGAAGACACAGCTCCTTCCAAATCGTGACAAGCCGCACGTTGTCGTGCGCTCATCCGCGGGGACAGCAGCAGCAACAGCAGTTGCCATTGGTTGGCTGACGCTACGCGAGACGAACACACCTGACGGCCAGAACAGAACGAGCGAATATCGCATCTGCGAACAGAACATCGGAACGATTTTCGTGCACCGAAGATGTTCAGATCGACCGTAGTTGCGTATTCCACTGTTTCGGAAAGCAGATCTGATCCGTGATTTTGATCACTCGAGTGAACGGGGTCTCAGCGAGTTTCAATGCCAGACTATGGTCTTCGTGCGTCCGATTCAGCTGAAATCTTCTACTTTGATCGATCAGTCTCAGCGGGAGTGAATGGATAATTCGGGTAAATGGTTCCTTTGTGCAAAAATCATCCGTCTGGCCTCCCAAATGTTCTCATCCGATCCATTCTTCATTTACTAGTACGGCAAGCCCGCACATATGGCCGTTTCGTAACATCTTCCTTATCCATTCATTGACTTCCTGGTCTCGACCAGTGACTCGCGGCCACAAATTAAAAACGCTGTCCTCACGTGACTAATATCTATTATCTCCCAACTTCGGCCACCCATCTAGTCCAAGCTTGACTTGAGAGAAGCTTAGATGGAACATTCTGAAGGAAGACGCATCCACTTGTCACTTCCTGGACATGTTTAATAGCTCCTCAAGCCGGACCACGGAAAGTGGCATCTTTGTGCAACTCCGGGCCGCAACGACTGATCTCAGGAGACTCGAGGGATCGACGACCGCAGGGTTCGTCTAGTTACTTGTTTCGCCGTTTGTTAATCTCAACGATACTTCCAATTCCTCCCTTCTTTTCGCCGATATCTGATGAACCGGATGCATTCTTTAAACGGGCTGAAGAGTGACTCGGCCGCCGCATACATTGAGGGTGCACAGCAAAACGTGATCATGCGTGCTGTACTGGATTTCTCCATTCTGATCTGAACTCAATGTCTTATCCTTTCCGGCTCTGTCGAAATTCCGGGTACCTCTGACACAGAACATGAGATCAGTGATACCTTTACATGGCAATCTTGAACGAACGCTCTGCCACAGCCATTGATCCATATTCCATTGGCTCTGACGTCGCCGTTCCCCGTTTCTCTCCGACAGCCGCACCGCATGGTCCCCCAGTCCTCGCAGTTAGGGCCGATCCGGCGTGTTGAAATGGAGGGTCAAACAACTTGAAAACCATGTGCTTTGTAGATGACAGGTACAACGTAGGCTGCAGATGTGACCTTTGTGATGATGATCAGATAGGTGGCGGTTTGACTGTTGAAATTTCATGTTAGGACGAATTTAACCTGCGTATCTGACCAATCGATAATCCAAATATCTCAGTATTCATCTTGGACAAAATAGCGACATTTGAAGTCTCGGGAGACGGTATTTAGGGCCACGTGCCATCACGAAATCAATTCAACACGGTTCCCTTCAAGACCTTTCAACCATCGGCAGACTACTGCCAGAGGAGGTCTGTGCCGTGAGCATCAACATGCTGTTCTCTCGTGTCTCAATTTCCTGGCTCGCTAGAGTGACGCTTAAGCGAATCGTTTTTGCAGCGACCCCTTTCGTGTAGTAATAAACTTTCCGACATAGTCTCATTGCAGACACGTGTCGCGTCCGTTGTTCACTCGAGGTCGCCAAGAAATGAGCGGCATATGTCTTTCCAACACCTGCGGATTGCTGTGGCGCGAGGGATTCACGTTCTTGTACTGGTAAGTGGCTCAGTTCTGTCCTTCTCAGGTAGAACTATTGCACGGTCAATTTTGATCAGAATGCTCTCGTTTCGAGAGTCCTAGCTAGCCAGCCTTGTCCGATATTTGGCGCCATACGACTGGTGATCACAATTCCCTCTCAAAGTAGCCGAAGAACCCACGAGAGATTGGATAGTCCAAGTCAGAGGCGCTATAATAGAAACCTTGTGTAAGGGCCGGGATACCTCGGAGACTATCGTCTATATTTTTCCAGACAAGGACTTCGCTGGAAAGCTAGACGAGAACAAGCAATGATGATTGTCGACAGAATGGGTTTAACATGCCTCACGGATGGAGTTCCGTGAGTATGGAGGTGAGGTTGAACGAGGGAACATTGATCCAGAAATTCTGACACATTCGTAACTTGGAACAAAATACTCACTCTCCTCCTCTGAAGCAGCTGAAAGTTACTGCATATGATGACAACGGTAGAGCAAGTTTCTGGAAGTGATTGGTCCGAGTCTGATGATGTTGTTGTCACAGCAATTTCATGTATGTCGCACGATGGACAACCGACCCACATGCGCTCTGGAACGGTCTAGAGCCAGCCAGAGCCCTTGCAGCGGCGAACCGAGATCGGTACTGGCCGATAATTGGTCACCAGCCTGTCGGGGCCCGAGGGATCAAGGAGAACGTGCCCGCGAAAACGGCCAGTCGGAACCGACGATCACGTCCCAGAACGGACAACGTGCGGCGAATCCTTTTCCGGCCAGAATCCCGAACGCTGACGTCTCGAGTCGATCGATAATGTGCTTACATAAATATGCAGACGCTTGGCCGGCCAATGCCATTTGCGCTTGGCGCAGAAGCATTTCTGTGTGGAACAGAGATCTTCGATCTTCCAATCTCCAAGATACGTTGGTTCGTGGTCCAGCGCTAAGGTCCAACAGCGTGGTTGTCACCTCCAAGGATCAACTCGCATTCATGCAAACGGAAGTTTTATCACACTCCTGTTACTTGCGAGGGGCCAAATGCACGATTCACACGGAGGATTTTTTCACGATCGATCCTCAATTCAAATTCGGAGGATTCAGCCGTGGAGTAGGAACAGAGGGGTTTGCCGAGAGTTGACGGCTGTTGGCGGGTGTAAACGATCAACGGATCGACAATGTTGCGAGCTGACGCAGGAGTCACAAATGCAGGAAACGTGTGACCGAAACACAGACCTATAATTTCAACGCTGACCTTGGTGAGTCTCTTTTTCTTTCGCGCTCCTTATGGCATACAGCTCCGATGCGGTGAAATTAGAAAGCTCACCCTCACCGTCCTCTAGCATCGCCCCCACGTTCCGGTTCCAACTGCACTCTCCGCCGGAAACCGCGTCGCACCCGCCCTCCCGCGCTCAGACTCCTGGACTCGCATTGCCCGCATTCCGTTTCGGCGCTGGCGGCAGTGCAAGTGCGTCGGGCGCGCAGCCAACGCCAGCCATGGCCTGGCCTGCGGGAACACCCGCATATACCCTTCCGTTTGCCGACTACGAACTCGATCATGATGATGATGATGAAGAAGGATCTGGCCCGACGGGCAAGGACAAGGTGGTGAGGAGGCGGAGCAGCAAAGGTACGCCGACATCGCCTCCCTTCGCTCGGATCTTCGCGGTCTCATGCATCCACCCTCCCTTTCTTCTTCTTCTAGCATGCGATCAATGCCGCAAAAGCAAGTGCAAGTGTGAAAGACCCGCTCAGGGCGAGGCTTGTCGCAGTTGCGCGCTGATGGGAACAGGTGCGTGCGCGGGATCTCAACGTGCAAGCTCGGCTGACGCGTTGCTCACTTCTCTTTCCTTACCGCGCGCTAAACTCAAATCATCCTCGGTCATTTACGCACGGCACTCTCCCGCCAGCATGCACATTCCTCGGTCCGAGTCGCAAACGCGGTCCGCCGAAGGGTTACATCGATGCAATTGAAGCACGGCTGCATCAAACCGAGGCGCTCATCGGCATTCTTCTTACGGCAGCGGGTGTCCGTGCTGAGCCGACGGGGCTAGTAGACGCGTCGGAAGAGGAGAACGGTGGCGCACGGAAGGAGATTGACCGCATGGCACGGTCGGTGCTGATGGACATGGCAGAAGTGCGTCTTGTGGTTTCCGCCGAAACGATCATAGAATTCATTGACCGTCTTCCAGGATCCACTTGCACGAGCTATTCTCACGCGAATCGACCAGAGCGCTTATGGACCAGGTGGTAGAGCCACTTTGGGAACCGGATTTAACGGCGGAGGCTCCGGCCGAGGAAGTCCGAGTGGTCGAGCACGAAGCACAGGGCCAGCCACACCCAGTCTGAGCTCCAGCGGCGAGATTTCCAGCACACAGTGCGTATTCCGCTCGTTTCCCAGTTTCCGCGCGACTGACGATGTATGCATGACGACCAGTCCCTCACATGAATGGATGGATCGCGTGACTTCACATGTCCTTCTCCGAGCCCGAGAGCGGCACCATTCTCGTCCACCCTCCATACGGGCCTCCGGCTCTGTCACACCCAACGGAACCCTGTCGCCATACCGATACGCATATCCCCAGTCAGCCTCATCGACCAACCAGCGCACAAACCAACTGCCAGCCATCATAACTGCTTTGGGAGACTATGCCCGACCCTCCTATCCCGCTTCAGCTGGAGCAGCTGAGCCACGCGGAGCATTCGGACCTGATCCGCGGTCCTATCCGGTCTCGGCAGGCGCCGCTGTCTCGAATGAGGCACGACCACTCACTGCTCCGGGAAGCACAGAAAGACGACAGCGGCGCCGGATCGACGAGACGCTGTACAGCCCCAGCAGAGATCCATCACCCCCTGACACGGAGAGCGAAGCCGAACTCGACATCGATGTTGGGGCCGAGCGCGACGAATCTCACCGGGGCCGTCGGCGACGAAGTGAAGAAATGGCGGGTCTGGCGGGTGCTGTAGGCCAACTCAGTCTGAACGAGGATAAACAAGTTCGGTATCATGGGAAAGCCA